AGTCTCTAAAATACTGTGAGCACCACCAGTGCTCAAGTTGGCCATGTTCCATACAGGCTTAGAATAATTATTCACAGTTTCTTAAATCTTGGATTTTGAAAAAGTCTGGATTTTATATAGATAGCTTAGCATCCTTAAAGGTTTCAATAAGGACTATCAAGATTATCATCCTTATTTTTAAAGGGCAAAGAATATAGACTGCTTTGGAGAGGGGTAATCATTACACATTGCTTATACATGTCAGGAAACAAATTACTGAAAAAGTCAACTAGGAGAAAAAATTCTCCTCAAATATTCATGGGCAGTTTTATTTTTTCTCTAGGAGTATTGATCTCAATCTGGCTAAATCTCATTAAAAATACCAATAAAAACTTCCTGGTAAATAAATGCAAGCAATACTGTTGTTTAGTTGCTAAGTCATGTCCGACTCTTTTGTGACCCCATGGACTGTAGCCCACCAGGCTCCTCTGTACATGGAATTTTCCAGGCAAGAATACTGAAGTGGGTTGCCATTTCCTTCTCCAGAGGATCTTTCCAACCCAGGGATTGAACCCGCATCTACAGATTCACCTGCTTTGCAGGCAGATTCTTTACCACTGAGCCACCAGGTGTGATCCAAATGCAAGGTAAACGCAAGGCTTTCTAATAAATTCTCACTTTCTTTTATTAATTCATTCAAAAAACCATGCTGCACTCCTACATATTGAAATGACACAATGAAAAGACTGATTGTCCCTATTAGAGAGTTTGCAGTTTAGTAGAGGGCTTCCCTTGTGGCTCAGCTGGTAAAGAATTTGCCTGCAAGCAGGAGGCCTGGGTTCAATCCCTGGATTGGGAAGATCTCCTGGAGATGGGAAAGGCTACCTACTCCAATATTCTGGCCTGGAGAATTCCGTGGACTTTATAGTCCTTGAGGTCGAAAGAGCTGGACACTATTGAGTGACTTTCACCTTCAGAGGAGATAATGTATTTGCATAAGCAACTATATTAAGGAGTAAAAGACATAATAGGGATAAGAACAATTAAGGGAGGAAAAAGAAAGGTTACTTTGAGGTTTAAGGAATTAACCCGAAGTAGGTCTTAGCTGAAATAGACCTTGAAGAAGATTCAGAAAAGCAGAGCTAGCAGGATGAGAGAGGGAGCCACAGACCAAAGGAATAGTCTGTGAAAGGCAAGCATGCAGGGAAACAAGAGCCATGCCTGAGAAAGTGCTCCCAGGCATGAAAGATAATGGTGGTGCCGATGGGTGGCAGGGGGTTTCAGTGGCAGGTGGTGAAAGCATCTAAAATGAAAGATAGGCTACATGTGTGAACAGAGTTAGTTTGGGAATGAGAGTTCAATGGCTGGGTGTGTCTGTTTGAGTTGAAAGCCTCTCCCTAACTCTTTCATTAAACACACAACTAACCTTCAACTGCCCTCTTAATCTCAGTTCAACTTCCAGTATTTCAAAATCATCAAACATAAAGAGGTAGTACCCTGAAAGAGGGTCTTCTGTTCAATGTTAGGAGACTAACTCCAATTACAAAACTCTGCAAATGTCCCCAAAAGGGAGCAAGATAGATTTATAAATCACTAGATCTATTAAGTTATGCAAATAATAAATTCATAACAAGCTGGCACATAACTTTTTAAAAAAGTGTTTTTGAAACTTCTGAGAATTCAGAATTAGAATGCCAAAGTGTTAGCAGATTATTTGATGAAAGAGGCCTTAATCTGCCAGGGAAACATCTTTAGGGGGTCTCCAGAAAGCAGGTTCATATATAAACTCTATTCAGCAATAAAGTTTACATTCATGTTTCTCTGATTTTCCCTGTTTTAAATTCGTTTGGCATAGGAACTTCTTAGCCAGTCTCTGTGCCCCAGTATTTCTCAAACTGTTTTCCTGGCTACATGGATCACCTTAAGATTTTGGACTTCACAGCAGGCCAGGCTATATGGATCGCGTGAGATTCTGGACTTCACCCCAGACCCAACCAATGAGACTTTACAGGGACAGGTCCTGGAATTTGAACTATAGAGAAGAAACTTCTATATTTCTGTGATTACAAAAGTTACTTCTATCTATATTCTTCCTGTGTTATTCTTTTATCACCTGCCTTCTCAGACACCTGAACTATTCATAGATGGAATGGATGCTAGGGCTGGATATTCTTCTCAGCGGGCGCTTTGCCAGATGAATGATGTCATCTGGAGTCAAAAACTTAATCCAATACTTTCACCAACAAGTCACAAACAGCCAAGGGATTTACTGTGGGTAGAATTTCAGAGGATAACTACAAACCAGACTTCTTTAAATGCCTAAAGAAATTAACTTTTATTTCTTTTAATAGTGGTCACTTTTCTCCCCTTTTATTTTGGTTAGCCTTTTATTTTCTTTTGTATTTCCCCCAGATACTGAGTAACAGGGCTGGCTCTGAGTACCACAAGAGAAATGATTAAAATAATATCACTCTTACAAAAACATATCTTACCAAACAATTTCATTTCTAACATATGAACCCCACATTTCTTCAGCCCATTTAAACTTTTCTTATCTAAAGTCAAATAAGTATATACTCTGGATACAAGCAGATATTTCTCTGTTTTCTAAATACTGCCTTGGATGGAAAGTGTAAAAAATATATTACCAAATATATCTTTACAAGTTTTACACTTTAAGTCAATCAACTGTTTATGCTATAACTTATTGTCATATGTTCTTTGATAGAAATTGAAGTAAAATGTACGTTATATATAACAAGGAGGTTGTGTGATTGATAAGAGATGAATGTAAAGACCAGACCGAAACCTACATTTGAGTCCCATTTATTAATCCACATGATGCTAGGGAAATTCATACAAGGTCTCCAAGTATCAGTTCTGTCTTCAAATGAAATAAGAATCAAAACTATTCTTATTTCATGGTTATTATAAGGAGTAAGGGAGATCATGTATATTTTGTTTCCTAATTAAACTTTTTATGAATGCCTGATAGTGCTGTCGTAACTTGTTCCTTGATCTCTGAAACCGTCTTCTTTTTATTTTCATTAAGAGTTAAACTTTTCCTGTCTCCTCTTTAAGGATTTAGGACATAGCTTTTTCACAGTCGGCTCATCAATCAAATATGAAAAGCAGTGCCTGGATTCAGATGACACTGGTCACTAGGGTATACTGGAAGCCAAAATCTACATGTGATAAGTCACAGCATCATTGTTGTTCAGTTGCTAAGTAGTGTCCTATTGTTTGCAACTCTATGGACTGTAGCATGCCAGGCTCCTCTGTCCTCCACCAGCTCCCAGAGTTTGCTGAAATTTATGTCCACTGAGTCAGCGATAGATCTAACCACCTCATCTTCTGTCACCCCTTTCTTTTGCCTTCAATCTATCCCAGCATGAGGGTCTTTTTTCCAATGACTCGGTGCTTCATATCAAGTAGGCAAAGTATTGGAGCGTCAGCTTCGTCGTTAGTCCTTCCAATGAATATTCAAGGTTGACTTCCTTTAGGATTGTCTGGTTTGATCTCTGCAGTCCAAGGGACTCTCAAAAGTCTCCTGCAGCACCACCATTCAAAAGCATCAATTCTTTGGTGCTCAACCTTCATATGAACCAACTCTCACATCTGTTCATGACTACTAGATAAACCATAGGTTTCACTGTATGGACCTTTGTCAGCAAAGTGATGTCACTGCTTTTTAATATGCTATCTGCATTTGCCATGGCTTATCTTCCAAGAAGCAAACATCTTTTAATTTCATGGCTGCAGTCACAGTCTGCAGTGATTTTGGAGCCCAAGAAAATAAAATCTGTCACTGCTTCCACTTTTTTCCCTTCTATTTGCCATGAAAGTGATGGAACTGGATGCAATGATCTTAGTTTTTTGAATGTTGAGTTTTAAAGGATCTTTTTCACTCTCCTCTTTCACTCTCATCAAGAGACTCTTTAGTTCCTCTTCATTTTCTGCCATTAGAGTGGTGTCACCTGCATATCTGAGGTTGCTGATATTTCTCCCAACAATCTTGATTCCAGCTTTTGATTCATCTAGCCTGGCATTTTGCATAATGTACTCTGCATATAAGTTAGATAAGTAGGGTGACGATATTCAGCCTTGATGTCTTCCTTCCCAATTTTGAACCAGTCAGTTGTTCCATGTCCAGTTCTAATATGATGCTTCAGCAGGTGGTTAAAATTCTACTCAAATAGACCCAAAACAGTAGCTTTCCTTCTACTTCCCCACTGACATAAACTGAATTACACAACTTTGACCTAAACCTGCAAGACCACCTTACCCTTTCTTCCTCCCTTGCCCACTCTACTAGGGCTCACAGTCAACAACAATTAAAAAATCGTTGGCTCTTTCCTAAATCTCTAATACTTCTTCCCTGCAGCCAAAGACCTGCAAAGAAATCTGAGACCTGCAATGCCAGGATAGGGGTTAACCTGATCCACTGACAGGCTACTACCAAAATATACCCAGCATTTTATATGTGTTTAATCTTTACAATCCTATGAGTAGCATATCAACATCTTTGTTTTAGATGTTAGGATACTGAGGCTCAAATTGACTCAGTAACTTTTCCACAGTCACCCAGTTCATGAATAGCACAATAGGTTGGCTGCAAACCCAGAACTAAGCCAGGGTTCTCTCCACCCCCTCTCAAGGACTCCCTCTAGATCCCATCTCTGCTCTGCATCATTCTGCTTCACTTTCTATGGAGTTTTAGGAACATAATGTCTAGCATCAGCATATTAGAGTCACCTGGGAGATTTTTACAACTACAAATGCCTAACTTTCCTCAGGGTCATTTATAACCAGAACTCTGGCAGAGGCACTCCAGCATCTTTAAGTCTTTTTTTTTTTTCCTGCAAATGATTCTGTTGCATTGTTATATTTAAGAACCACTGGTTTAAATAATGATATTACTCATGCTAAACATTTTTATATTGCTTTAAAATTTAATCAGTGGTGTGTTCTTATTATAAAATATCTTATTAACACATAGTTTCTTTTTATTGTGATAACAGGTGGATGAGACATTTATAGATTCGGCCTTGAACAAGCATTATATCAAGAACCAAGTAGTGAAACTGACGTATGTATGCTTGGGCAAAGGTGACTTCATGGTCTAGAGTAACCAAAAGCACAGGACACAAAAACCTTTATACACTGTTGCCTCTACGAGACTGACTTTTGGCCAGGATTTCTTATTAATATGATTGCAACAACAGTCTCAAGATATAGAGGTGACCATCATTTTGTAAATGCAAAAACTGAGACTCTGGGAGATTAAGTGAAATGTTCAAAATTCCCCAAGTGACAGAACAGGAATCAAATCCCATCAAGTGATGGTAAGGCCTGGGACTGCCAGAAACCAGGGCCTTGAGAAAACCCAGCAGCATGTCACTGCATGCACCAAATTGCATTCTTTCAATATATATGTCATTTCAAAAATATTAAGGAGTCAAAGTTGACTACAAAATGGGGTCACAAGTCTTTCCTGGATTGAACCCCTAGTGACAGGAGGCATGCCCAAACACAAATAAATAAACTTGAAATAAATGTTGAAATAAATTTCCATTTGTGGTGGTGGAGGAGGAGACTCATATAGGCTGAGAAATTGCTCAGAGGTTTCAGTTGTCTTATTTGGAAAGTTCATAGCAGAACATGTATGTAACAGATACAAACCTATGGGCCTGTGTGACTCATCTTCTTTAAAAAAAAAGAGAATATTCAGATGGATATATTTGAAGGAAATAATAATCAGTTTTCTTACCAATAATCTAATGCCCTATTGGTAGAATGACTCCAAGTTTCTTACACCTTTACCAAGTAACTAGGTACCTCCAGAAGGATTTTATGATATAAATTCAATACATTTTATAACACATCTAGGAGAGAAAAAGCATGTTTTTGCTGAAACTGTCTAGATTTCATGCCCTCCATTTTCAAATTCTGACTTGCCATAACATCCTAGCAAAATTATCATAGCCTTATGCACTCCTTTGAATGTGTATTCATTATCATTTTGTAAGCCTTTGTGTGGGTGCACTCCACCTAGTAAACAATGTTTTCCCTCTGATTTAAGAAGAGGGAATATTTGCCAATTTGACATAAAATTCTGATTATTTATATCTTCACATTCCAGAGCCTAAATGAACCACAGTATATAAAATCCCTTCAAATTGATACCATTTCCTCTTTTTTAAAGTCAAAGGATTCAAGAAAATAGGGCTCTCATGCTTATAGCTTCGATCTTTTGAAGTGTAAAAATAAGAGATGTGGCAGATCAACATATAGGTTTCCATTTTGTAAAAGACTTTTACTGTTTGATTTTCATACTTTAAGCATATATGAAAATTCAGCCCCTCAAGTGAAGGGGCTTAAACGTGTTTATATGAAAAAAGGTCAAGGAATTGGATATGCTTAATTTGGAGAATACTGAGAGACCGAGAATATCACTGTCTTCAAATATTATACATGGAAGAGAGAATTGATGTTTTATGTATGTCTGAACTGGTAGACATAATCCTATGGAGTGGAAGCTTTAGGGAGCTATGTTCAACTCCAAGTGAAGAACTCTCTTAAAATCAAAGCTGACCAAAGAGAAATAGCCTCTTTAGGGAAGTAAATTTCTCATCATTTTAATTACTTGCTGGGGTGAGATGACCACTTATCATGGAGGCTATAGAGCTGATGGAGGTATCACATGAGTGACAGGTCAAAGATACCACTGAAGCTTTTTCCAACCTTCAGGGTTTATGATTTTGCTGATAACATTTTAGTGTCTGAGTCTTATACAAATACTATAACAAGCCTTCAAATTAATGGGAAAATTCACTTAAAGCAAAAAGAGAACATGAAGAGGGAACATATGAAAAAATCTTGAGTCAGAGTGACATAAATGAGTAGCAATATGAGATAATCAACTGTTGACACTTTCAATTGAGGCATAATTCAAGGGAATAAAATACAAAAAAAAGAGTGTAGGATAATACTGGATGTATTCTTTGAACAAGTACATTTCTATTCTGTGTCATAGTCCAGAGGAAGATGGGACGACAGTAGATATCATCATGGTGTTTCAGTTCCCCTCTGCTGAGCCAAGTGCAGTGAGAAGTAGGAAAATCCGCAGCATCTTAGATGAGAAGATAAGGAACACCAGAGTTTTGCCAATAAACACCTCATCAGTTGAAGTTAATGGTAAGTAGGTACCTTTCTACATGACGTGAAGTTCTCTATTAAGTCCTTTTTATGCCTAATCATAAATTTATTTACTATTATTTCCATTCCAAATAATAGCTAGAATTCAGATGAAAAAAATATTCAAGTTAAAAAAGTGACTTTTAAAGGTTTTATTATTCTCTGATGAAAGCATATCTGAAATTAGTCAAGTAGCTCTTCCTATAGTAATTGACTGGCACTCACCCTGAAATAAAAGCAAACCTTTACCACTAACAGAGTTCATCTGACCCAGCCACTGCCTCCATGACTAAGCAAGTGAAAACACCAAGTGTTAAGCAATGGCTGTTTTTCTGTTTCAGAAACATAAACCCAGTTGCTGCCCTTTAGAAAGAGGAATAGTTTCTGTGAATAGTGAAACTGTGAAGTTTGTGCTAACCTTTTTCCTGTGGGCATTTGGGAAAACGGTAAACTAACTTTGGCGCCACTAAAGCCATCTTACAAGTAATGAATTAAAAAATCATGAAACTAGAAATTATAGGAACCATTATATCATTATTGCTTCTTTAAAAGAAATAGCTTTTATCAAGGTCCTTCTCTATGCCCTTTACATGCAGCATTTAACTTCTTTATTCTTATGAATTAGGCAAATTCATCTTTAGAGATGTGAAAGAGGGGCTTTAGACCTTCTATCTATAGTGAAAGGACTCTGGTAACTAAAAAGGGCAAAGATTTAGCTAAGGACTCCAGTAATTTAAAAGAGCAGAGATTCAAGTCTATTGATAGATTGCTAATTTCTTGAGAGGCTTTATGGCAGGGGCGGGGAGTGTTCTTTGGTCAAACACTTTTTAGAAATGCAATCTACAATATTCATCTCTTAGAAATTCACCCCTTATATTAGCATACCAAAAACTCTCAGGAGTCCAACCAGACAGAAACCTGTTTGAAAGTGAAAGTGAAAATCACTCAGTCAGGTCCGACTCTTTTCGACCCTGTGGACTGTAGTCTGCCACGCCCCTCTGTCCATGGAATTCTCCAGGCCAGTATACTGGAGTGGGTTGCTGTTTCCTTCTCCAGGGGATCTTCCCAACCCAGGGATCGAACCCAAGTCTCCTGCATCACAGATGAATTCTTTACTGTGTAAGCCACTAGTGAAACCTGAAAACCTGTTTACCCCTGTTCATTAAGCTGCTTCCACAAGCATCAAGCATCTATTCCTGAAAGACAAGTACAGATTTCCCCTTCACATTCCAGTGGAAACCAGACTTAAGAGTCACAGAAGAGAATCAGAATAAGTGTGATTCATATCAGACATGAAACAGAAAGCCCTGCCCTTTCAAGGGTCTGGCTGACTCTTTAGGAGGAAACCTGACCAGGAAATAAAATCTGTGGGAATGGGATGGGCAGGGGTTTGCTGATGAGACAAAGAGTCAGTTAATCAGGAAATGAACCTGGGGACCTCTCCCAACCCAGGAGGGAAGAACCTCTCAAGGGCTTAATCCGCCTTCTTTGTTTTTTCCTTTATGGAGAAACAAATGAATTGAGGTTGTGAAATACTGGAAGTTCTGATAAGTTACAAGATGTATTCTACATAATTTTAAATAACCAGTTAATTTGCAAGAAACTTAAAAGCCTGAGCTATCTGAAACCAGAAATGAAGCATGAGGTGGTCATTGGGTGTCTGGGCGTTTTATTTCCTATAGGTTCAGTCTGTGACCTGTAGTCTGTTTTAATGTCTATAGTAGATTACAGGGCAGGACGTGCTGATGAAGAACCTGATTTGAGAGTTACCTGATTCTAACTCCACTGAGTCACTACAGGACTACCCAAGTTCTGTAAAGGACTTGTATTTACAAAGTCCACCAAAGGACTACCATGCCTTTTCCTCCACTTTCTCATCTATAATCTTGCAATGATAATATTTGCTCTTCCTGAAGTCACAGAAATATCAAGAATATATACAAGAAAACAAAAAACATAATATTGAACATATAGGCTATTAGAAAGTTAGAAAATTGTGCATATACTTTGGAAACCTGAAAATATTAATGCAAATAATTGGTGGTAGAAAAAACTAGAAGCCTGGAGGTTTCCAAATTTCCAAATATGAAAAGAGCAGCGTTTACTAGCACTTAGGAAAGGCTCGCTCGGTAGAAAACTGATTCGAATCCTCAAGGCAATCCTTGTAGACAAAAAAACTGCTCTCCAGCAATACTTAATTTGGGGGATTTCAAATGAATGGAAAATTGCAGAAATTCTAGACAAAGTCTAGAAATAACCTTGCAGCCCCAGATTTATCCATAATCTGGCAACTATCTGTGTTTTGGTTTGACAAATAACTGTGTGGTGTGCGCCTTCCTGTGATGGGATGTCAGAACAAAATTAATATTGACTCCCTTGAATTGCAAATGCCATGACTGTGGAAAAGCAGCTCCTCACCCATGGGCTGTTGATGTGGGAAACATAGAAAGTAAAACCATTTTGTCAAAATTGGTAATTTGCAAAAGTCAGTCACTTGTATATGGGCAGTTTACCTCCAGGTATAACCATTCTGTCTAAAATTCTTTCCTCAAAAATCCAATGAAACTCCCAACTACTACACGTACCCTGGTTTTTTCTTGGAAAGGGCTGAGTTGCATCTTGCTCAAGCTAAGCAGAAGAAGCTCTAATTGAAGAATTATAAACTTATATCATTGTAATGCATTACTAACATGGGGCATATTCAAATAACCTCATTTTATTTCACTTCACTTTATTGCACTTCACAGATGTTGTGTTTTTTTTTTTTTTTTTACAAATTGAAGGTTTGTGGCAATCCTGTGTTGTCAGATGATAGTTAGCATGCTTTAGCAGTAAAGTACTTTTTAATTAAGGTATGTATATTGTTTTTTAAAACACAATGCACACTTAACGGAGTACAAAATGGTGTAAACATAAACTTTTAAATGCACTGGGAAACCAAAAAAATTTTGACTGTGATATTTGCCTATTGCAGTGGTCTAGAACCGAACCCATAATATCTCCAAAGTATGGCTATAGTTTTAAAAAATAAAACAAGAAATTTACTACCTTAAAACTACATTTGACCAAAAATTGAGTTTCTTTTATAAAGACTGAGAATCTGTACTGAGAAACTGATTCTTCACTATATAATGATTTAGGCATGCCTTTTATGAGTTTATTGGATATTCTCAAAAGCTTCCACTTTGTGTAGTTCATCATCATTAGTTTCCCAAGTGAAATTTATAGAAGGTAAGTGGAAAGAAACATTCTCATTGTGCATAATGAGAAGTTCAATGTAGAGAATATGGGTCTGAGACACATGGTTTTATACAAGTAAAACCATCCATCCTCATTCTACATATTAAGCCCTTTTGTTTTGAAAACCATCCCACTTTTCATGCAACCATTCATCAAGTTAACTTTAAATGTTCGTATTTCCTTTATTAGGTTACCAACTTTGTTGGAAATGACAGAATTTTATCTTAGATTCTGTCCAATAATTAGCCTCTACCAGTATCCAGCAGGTGTTTGATAACAATATATAGTAGTTTATTCATTCCCTGGGGGGGGGGACATTTTGATAATTTAAGAACTGTGTTTTAGAAGTATTTTAACTACAGTTTATGTGGTAGTTTTCAAAGTTTTTTTTTTTTTTTCAACCTTAAACCCTTGCACCAAAGAAAGGCTTAAGTGAAATCTTAAACAGAAGAGATAAAAGCAGACTTGTTTTCATTGAGGCTGAGTTTGAACCTAAAGACTCCATTAGTTGCTCCCTCTTTCCCTACTTTCTCTATATCCTTAAATTAAATCCAAAGATTTATACTAAGCCATTGGAAAGCCACTGCTCCGTATTACTACAAACAATTTGTGGGTTTTGATTATACATATTTGAGCCTTAATCACTCACTGCTTACTGCCTGTATGTGCTGTGCTTAGTCACTCAGTCATGTCCCACTCTTTGCGACCCCACAGACTGTAGCCCACCAGGCTCCTCTGTCCATGGGGATTCTCCAGGCAAGAATACTGGAGTGGGTTGCCATGCCCTCCTCCAGGGGATCTTCCCAACCCAAGGATTGAACCCAGAGCTCCCGCAGTACAGCAGAATTCTTTACCATCTGAGCCACCAGGGAAGCCTAGAGGTTGCCGATAAATCTCTACAAAAACCATACATATATCCTGTTATATCAGCTGTTTTCCTGACTCATCCATAAGCTCAAATTCAGACTCCATTTATGATGAGTATTCTCTGATAATTTCTGGTCATTGAGACCAACTAGGAGAATATCAAATTATCATTCTTTGTTCTATCTTGTTTTTCAGCAATGAGCTCATCAACAGGGAAGCTAACTGTCCAAGCATGTAAGTCTAGTTAGTTTATAAACACAAGTTCCATTTCCATCTCAGAAAGGATAATATCTTCAAATATTAGCTCATAATTTCCCACTCATGTTCCACATTTTCTTTTGGAGAGAATAACAATTGTGTAAAAAATAAAAATACTTTTTTTCTAACTCTAAGACCAACCATTTTGTCATCTTCATCAAAAATATTTTACATGGTGGAAATCTAGGAGCAATTTGAAGAAATTTTATATTTCTGATTTGGAATAAATGGACTTGCCTTGATAATTTTTAAATGCTACTAATTTTGCTTTCTACTGAGAAGTAAAATAATGAGAAAGTGAGAAATGGGAAAGAGATAGACCCCTTTACTTGTGATTGTCTGTACAATTTACTGATCATACTCTTCTTCATGGTTGACAGCAGCTCCACTCACTTACTTCATATCATCATTTACTTCATATCATTGTGACCTAAATTTTGAAAGAATTTTTTAAAAGTGGTCATGACTTCAAGAAAAGGTGTTCATTCATTTTCATCTCTCTTGCAAACATACTATATATTTTTACTCATTCATTCAATAAATATCCTTTTAAAATCTACCAAGTGCCAGAAAGTGAATACAAGTGTCACTAAGACATGATTCCTCCTTTAAAATTAGGGCTTTGAATTTAGAGGAAGACATAAATCAACCAGGAAATGTTAAAAGAGCGTGATAAATGCTATGGCAGAGATAGTGCAGTGAAAGTCAATCCACAGAGTCAGCTAACCTGACTTGGTCTTGTGGGGTCTGAAAGTGATCCTTGAGACAGGAGAAAGGAAGGACCACAAATCAAGTGACAAGTGGGATGAATGTCCTGGGCAGGGAGAATAGTATGTAAAAATGTCTTTAGAAAAGCAAGAATACGATCACTTCTTGTAAATGAAAAATGTCAGTGTGGCTATAATATAGGATTGGGGGTTGGGGACATGAGAAAGGGGTGTGATTAATAGTCATCAAGGACAAGAATCACGCTAAAACATTTCAACTTTATCTGGAGGGCAATGAAAAGTCACTAAAGGGTTTTAGACACATCAGAAAGGCCACCCAGGTTTCAGGGTGGAGAATGGATTGGAGGAGCAACACTGGAGGCAAGGAGATGATCAGGGAAGCTGGTGCAGTCCTCCCTCTGAGAAAAACAGTAGTCTAAACTAGAGATGGCAGTGACAGGGATTTCTCAACAACTGACCACAGTAGGCGTGTCATCAGCACCAGTGTCATCAGCACCAGTAAAGTGAATTTCCTCTTTGATACCTAAATTTTTGGAATAAAAATTGAATCTACCATATTTTCTTTATTAGCAGCATGCTTTATTATTTTATTATTTATTATTAAACAGGCTTCATTCTTAAGTGGGAATCCTAAGCAGCAAACTAATCTCTGATCTGACCTGATGCACATAATAGAGTACTTATTTATCCCCACTTATAGTGAATGTGATATTTATGTGGAAACATAGAATCCTCCACCTTAAAGAGTAAGAGACTGGTCATGATGCCTTAACCATGCCCCTTTAGGAACTAGTCACTCAGAAAAATGTATGAGAGAAGGAGTTCCAAGGAATTGGCAATTACTTCTCTGATCAGTTCTTCTGTTGAGGACTTTTATGTCAAAATAACATGGTGGGATCACCTAAAACTAGGAAACAATAATCTTAGTAGGAGCTCCCTGAACATCTTGGATAATTGACACTGCAAGTCCTCAAGACACACACTTTGTGGTGTGTCAATACTTCTCAGACTTACACAGCTTCAGTGGGCAATGTATATCCATTCTATAAAGAGAGGGACTGAGCAAAACGTCAAGGAGGAGGAAATACAGAAGGTGGATATTAATATTGTACATGTTTATATGATGACAGATGTAAACATTGCACGGCAGCACTCTACTAATTTCTCTGTATCAAGAGTTATAGAGACATTTCTTATCAATTAATGATCGCATCTCTTTCAGGTTGCGGTAAACGAGCTGTTCCATTAGTAAGCAACAGAATAATGTCCGGAGAGATCGCGGGCAAGGCTGCCTGGCCTTGGCAAGCTTCGCTTCAATATAATAACATACATCAGTGTGGGGCCACCTTGATTAGCAATACTTGGCTTGTTACTGCAGCACACTGCTTTAATAAGTAAGTGATTGATGTTAACTCACTGCTACTACTTAAAAAACCATCTGAGTTTTATTGTCTTCTGAGTAATAATCAACATCCCCAAGTATTGCTGAGGTACAATAAGAAAAGCATCTTTCACGTCTTTTTCTAAAGTATAGTGTTGTACTTGAACTTATTTGGAAAGTTTGTAGGGGTAGTAATCACTATCCGAGTATATGCTAATCAGGTCCTTAGGGTTTTAAATAAAGAAATTATGGCTAGAGAAGTTTTGGATATAAGGGAACCCTCCTACACTGCTGGTGAAAATGTAAATTGGTGCAGCCAGTATGAAAAACACTATGGAAGTTCCTTTTAAATAAACTGAAAATTGAGTTGCCACATGATCTAGTAATCCCACTCCTGGGCATATATTCAGAAAAAACTCTAATTCTAAAGATACATGCACCCCAATGTTCATTGCAGAACCACTTACAGTAGGCAAGACATGGAAGCAACCCAAATGTCTATCAACAAATGAGTGGATAAAGAAGATGTAGTATATATGTACAATGGACTAGTATTCAGCCATAAAAAAGAATGAAATAATGCCATTTGCAGCAACACAGATGGACCTAGAGATTATCAGTCTAAGCAAAGTAAGTCAGAGAAAGACAAATATCATATGATATCACTTATATGTGAAATCTTTAAAAAGATACAAGTGAACTTATTTACAAAACAGAAGCAGACCCACAGACATAGAAAACAAACCTACAGCTATCAAAGGGGAAGAGTGGGGAGGGATAAATTAAGACTTTGGTATTAACAGGTACTCACCACCATATACAAAATAGATAAACAACAAAGACCTACTATATAGCACAGAGAGCTATATTCAATGACTTGTAATAACTTAGAGTGTAAAAGAATCTGGAAAAAGAGTATATATGCTGAATATATATAAATGCTGAATCATTTGATGCATACCTAAAGCATTTTGAGTGAGTAAAAGTCATTCAGTTGTGTCTGACTCTCTACAGCTCCCAAGGTTCCTCTGTCCATGGGACTCTCCAGGCAAGAATACTGGGAATTGCCATATCCTCCTCCAGGGGATCTTCCCACCCCAGGGATCAAACCCAGGTCTCCCACATTGCAGGCAGATTCTTTACTGAGCCACCAGGGCAGCCCAGAATATTACACATCAAATATAATTCAATCTTTTTTAAAAAAAGAAATAATTAGGGTGATAAGTATCTCTATGCACAGCATCTGTACCTTTGCCTATTCCTTTTCAATGATGTTATTAATAGTTCACTTAATTTGTTAAGTAACATGAGTCAGTTCAGTTCAGACACTCAGTCATATCTGACTCTTTGCAACCCCATGGACTGTAGCATTCCAGGCTTTCCTGTCTATCACCAACTCCTGGAGCTTGCTCAAACTCATGTCCATCAAGTCGGTGATGCCATCCAACCATCTCATCCTCTGTCTTCTCCTCCTCCTCCTTCAATCTTTCCCAGAATCAGGCAGGATCTTTTCTAAGGAGTCAGTTCTTTGCATCAGGTGGCCAAAGTATTGTAGCTTCAACTTCAGTATCAGTCCTTCCAATTAATAGTCAGGACTGATTTCCTTTAGGATTGACTAGTTTGATATCCTTGCAGTCCAAGGGACTCTCAAGAGTCTTCTCCAACACCACAGTTCAAAAGCACCAAATCTTTGGCACTCAGCTTTCTTTATGGTCCAACTCTCACATCCACACTTGACTACTGGAAATACCATAGCCTTGACTAGACAGACCTTTGTTGGCAAAGTAATGTCTCTGCTTTGTAATATGCTCTCTAGGTTGGTCATAGTTTTTCTTCCAAGGAGCAAGTGTCTTTTAATTTCATGGCTGTAGTCACCATCTGCAGTGATTTTGGAACCCAAGAAANTAGTCTCTCAGTTAAAATCATCCAGTGAATTCCCATATTATTTGAATAAAATCTAAGCACTTTATTCAAGACCTATTTGTTGTCATTCAGTTGCTATGTTCTACTCTTTGCAACCCCATAGACTGCAGCATGCCAGGCTTCCTGTCCTTAGCTATCTCCCAGAGTTTACTCAAACTCATGTCCATTCAGTCAGTGATGCCATACAGCCATCTCACCCTCTGTTGCCCTCTTCTCTCCCTGCCCTCAATCTTTCCCAGCATCAAGGTCATTTCCAGTGAGTCAACTGTTTGCATCAGGTAGCCAATGTCTTGGAGCTTCAGCTTCAGCATCAGTCCTTCCAATGAATATTCAGGGTTGATTTCCTTTGGTATTGACTGGTCTGATCTTGCAATTCAGGGGACTCTCAAGAGTCTTCCCCAGCACCACATTTTTAAAGCATCAATTCTTCCACACTCAACCTTCTTTATGGTCCAACTCTCACATCCATACACGACTATTGGAAAAACCATAGCTTTTACTATCTGGACCTTTGTTTGCAAAGTGATGTTTCTGCTTTTTAATATGCTGTCTATGTTTGTCAGAGCTTTTCTTCCAAGGAGGAAGTATCTTTTGATTGACCTATAAAACACTAAATCTGGCCCCTGCCTACCTTGCCAACCTCATTTCCCACCATTTTTCCTTTGTGTCCTGAACTGCAGCCTGTCTGTTTTTGGGATATTTGCCTGAAAACTTATCATCCCATCTTCCCAAAGCTGACTACTCATCAACCATGTCTCAACCCAAGTGCCATGTTCTCAAAAGTGACTTATCTAACTACCCCCTTGTACTCTAGTCCACTGCCCTATTTACAGTCCTTATCACTGCTGTAAGTTATCGATCTATTCATTCATTTTGCTCTTTTTCCTTCCCTGAAATCAAATGTACCCACCAGCAAGGGCTTTTCTGACTTGTTCACCACTTTAATCCTGGCATTTCAAATAAGATTCAACATGTAGATGATCAATAAATATTTACTGGAGAAATGAATGAACAACATTTTATAGGCTTTACAGTTCTAAAATTCAATAATTCTGTACTGGATTCCAGCTCAAAGATGCTCTTTGTATATATTTTATCTTTCAAAATAGTAGCAGTATGGTTAAAGAAAGATATCATTGAATCCAAGTGTATTAGGGTGGAATTTTCTTTTTTAATAGCCTACATGAAATTATTGTAATGTAGTTCATACATTCTGTTCATATCTAAACTTTTCCAGTAAAGCAAACCCGCATCAGTGGACTGTTAGCTTTGGAACAACAATCAACCCTCCGTTAATGAAAAGAAACATCAGAAGAATTATTGTCCATGAGAGGTACCGCTTCCCAGCAAGAGAGTACGACATTGCTGTTGTGCAGTTCTCTCCCAGAGTCACTTTTACTGATGACATCCGTCGAATATGTTTGCCAGAAGCCTCTGCGTCCTTCCAACCAAATTCAACTGTCTATATCACAGGATTTGGAGCACTTTTTTACGGTGGTGGGTACCGAAAAACGAATCACGGAGCTCTAAGCTCTATTTATGGCAGTGTTATTTAATGTCCATCAGTAATATCCTGTCAGACTTTTCCACACAGTTTGGATTAGGGCTCTTGTGCAAGTGACAGAAACTCCACCCAAACTAACTAAAGTAAAAAATAATAACATTATGGCAAATTTGGCCCTTGTAATTTGGAATCAAGAGGTGAGTCCGACTTCAGATACGTGTGGATTCAGGACTTTGTGTGACGTCATCAGGCTCTGACTGTGGGTTTTTCCACGGGTTGGTTCGGGTTTCCCCGGGTCACCTTCATTACAAGGGATTCTAGCGCCACATAGTGGTGAGGGCGGCCAACAGCGGCTCAGCGTGTACATCCCCTAGCTGATGCCAGAGAACAGTCTCTCTCTTTGCCAGAATCTATGTTAATCCCTGAAAAAGGTCTCTTTTGGCCCAGCTTGTGTCCAGGGGTACCAGACTGACTGGTTGACTCAATTCTCACTCTTACGCCTACAGAAAGAAAGGCAGATATGTGACTGGAAGCCTGGTCAGAAGCAGAAGTAATGAGGGAAAGACAGCTCCAGCAGGAAAGGCTTCAAGGAAGATATCAAGGGAAAGGAGGTTCCCTCAGAAACACGAAGGTCTATCTCTAGGTACCACGGTCTGTGCCATGCAATGCAGGTACACACTAGATACGCTAAAATGCACAGGCCCACCTTCACTCTGACGCCTTCACTTTGAGCCTCCTCTCTTTTTCACCTCCCCTTCCCCTTTGCCAGCTCCGTCACTTAGTTTCACTTTTCTCAGTCACCTCAAAAATGTTTCCTTTGCTCAGCTATAATCTCCAATTGCAGCAAAATCTGCCTCAGAACTAAAGAGGCTAATTGAGAGTGATTGGGGTAAGAATACTGTATAGAGACAAATCATCTCTGATAATAAAGCTTCCACTGACCTCTCTAAAATGATTTAACTTGATATACTAATCTCTTAAAAAATAAAATTGGCTTCATGTTTTAAGGTTTTCAAAACATACTTACACACATTCTGGATTCTAAAATCTGGTCCAGGCGCATACATATAACAACAGCGACCGGGTTTCTTTGACTCTAGGCTTGAGAGGATAAGAAAGGATTTTTTGAGAATGACAAAATTCATTCACAGAGCTCTATATAATTTATTAATATACAATAAACTCTAAAGAATAAGTCATTAATTCTCATTCTTCACTAAAGAACCAGGAATACCTTTCACTAATGTGGTTGATGATGGGCTTGATGGTCTTTAGATTTTTCTCCAGATGTCCCATGTGGTTTCTTTAAGGTTATATTTCCAATCACAGAAATTATTATCCATAGCTTAATAAGCCCAGGGAGCTGTAAGCCTGACAATAATATGTCTGCTCTCTCTCTAATGGATCTTCTCCTAAAATAGAGTTGCATTTTTCATTTGATGAGGGGAGCATCTCAGATTCCCTTTGGCTTGATGGAAAGAAATAATTTCTGACCTGGAGTCTAAAGTTGGCATAGAAACACATCTGCCATAATAGTTTTTGAATAGCAATAGAATCTAATTTATGTAGAACACTATAATTAGCAACAGGATACCTACTTTTTTAAAGCACCCATGGAACATTCTCCAAGATACACTATATCTAGGTCTATGAAACAGTCTCTGACAAACTTAAAAGAATGGAAATCATATACAGTACACTCTCTGATGACAATGCAATCAAACTAAAAACCAGTAACAGAGAGATAATAGGAAAATCTCTAAATGCTTAAAAATTAAACAACACACTTCTAAATAATCCATAGATAAAAAAGGAAATCTTGAAGATAATTATAAGCATTAATAGAATGAAATGAATGCAGGATGCAGCTAAAACAGTACAGAGACAGGGAAACATAGCAAAATGCATGTATTATAAGAAAGCTCTCCTTTTAAGACACTAGAAAAGAGGAGAAAATAAACCTAAAATAAACACGAGGAAGGAAATAATATAAGTAAGAGTGGCAATGAATACAATCAAAATTTAAAAATGGAAAAAATTGAATTTAAAAACTGATTCCTTGAAAAAAGATCAATACTTTCTGGGAAATGTCATTAAGCATTATCACGATATTTAAGAAAAAGTTCAGGGATGTACAGGATATGTAGGCTAAGCTTTTTATAACTCCTTGCCAATGAGTTTTATTAAAAAGTTATGAATTTACCCTGTCACCTATAATATGCATATCATCTTACCTTTCCCAGAACTGGGCATGAATTATTTTTAATTGATAATGTAACAGTCAAAAAAAAAATTACACTAATTTTACTCAAAGAACAGAATATCTTGAGCATTTTTTAACATTTTAGCAAATACCTGTCCAGAAAAAACCCTGAATTGACGTTCTAGAGAAATTAGTGTCCATTATTAGTTTTCTACTGCTGTGTAACAAACTGTCACAAATTTAACAACTTGAAAGAAAATGCATTTATTATTTCAGTTTCTATGGGTCAGAAATCCAGACATAGCATAGCTGGCATCTCCTCTCAACATCTCACAAATTAGCAATCAGAGTATTGGCTGGGGTTGAGGTCTCATCTATGACTCTTTTCCAAGCTCACTGGTTGTTGATGAAATTTAGTTTCTTGCACCTACAGAGTTTATGACAGCTTGCTTCTCCAACACCACTGGGAAAAAGTCTCTGAACTCAGGGAAAGCCTAGTTCAGTTCAGTCACTCAGTCATGTCCAATTCTTTGCAACCCCTTGGACTGCAGCACTCCAGGCTTCCCTTTCCATCACCAACTCCCGGAGCTTGCTCAAACTCAGGTCCATTGAGTTCATGATGCCATCCAACCATCTCATCCTCTGTCATCCCCTTCTCCTTCTACCTTCAATATTTCCCAGCATCAGGGCCTTTTCCAGTGATCAGTTCTTCACATCAGGTGGCCAAAGTATTGGAGCTTCAGCAGAAGGCCTAAACCCCTTTTAAAAGGGCTTATCCGATTAGGTCAGGCCCACCTTGGATAATTTCCCTTTTGATGAACTCAGTGTCAAGCTGACTACATCTTAATTAATCTTCAATATTTCCTCACCTGTGCCATAGAATATAACTTAATCATGAAAATGACACCCATATTATTCACAGATCCCACTTAGACCTAGGGGAAAAGAGATCACATAGGAATCTTGGGGATCATAGCAGAATTTTGTCTACTGCAGGGTCAGTTTCCCAATCAGCATGTGGCTGATACAAAGAATCCCTTAATACTTGTAATATCATTGGTTTCTATCATAAATAGTTGTCTTCTCCATTAGTATCGGTTTCTATAACTCAGGCTCTAGTTTATGACCTGGGGTTTCAAAATTATAATACATAATGAAATCATTGCCTCTACGTGCGTGTCATTATATGTGTGAGAGTTCCCCGTAAAATGTAAAGGATAAAATAAAGATATATAGTTATTTTATCAAGCCAAAACTGTCTAGGCCTACAAAGTTTCTGGGAACAATCTGGAATCTACAAATAAAAAGTTATTTAAAAAAATAAACACCTTCCTAAATATACAAACTGATTGTTTTTAAGTAAAGGTACAAAGGCTTTCCAGAAAAAAGAAACAAAATGTTTTCCTTGCTAGTATAGGTATTTAAAAATGAGAAAAGGACAATTTTCATTTACATTTTCCAGAGAATAAGTAGAACTTTTTTCCTTAAGAACTGCTTATATTAACTGCATCTTGTTTGACAATTTTCGTTGATGTTCAGTCGCTCAGTCATGTCCAACTCTTTGCAAACCCATGGCCTGCAACATGCCAGGCTTCCCTGTCTTTCACCATTTCCCAGAGCTTGCTCAAACTCTTGACCATTGAGACAGTGATGCCATTCAACCATCTCATCCTCTGTCATCCCCTTCTCCTCCGGGCTTCTATCTTTCCCAGCATCAGGGTCCCTTCTAATTAGTCGGCTCTTTGCATCAGGTGGCCAAAGTATTGGAGCTTCAGCATCAGTCCTTCCCATGAATATTCAGGATTGATTTCTTTTAGGATTGACAACTTTAGCTTGAAATAAAAAGGTCTGCACTTCATTCTAGCTAATAATACTGGTTGTAACCACTAAAATTACTTTGCTTTTTCTTAAGGGGAATCCCAAAATGATCTTCGAGAAGCCAGACTGAAAATCATAAGTGATGATGTGTGCAAGCAGCCACATGTGTATGGCAGTGATATAAAATTTGGAATGATGTGTGCTGGATATCTGGAAGGAATATATGATGCCTGCAGGGTAGGTGGAAAGAGACTATTTTGATGTCATTAACTCAAAAATATTTATCTGGCTCAAAAATATTCTATGCTCTTTAATATGAAAAGCATATTTTACTAATATAGTAAAATCCAGAGATTATGGCCATGCAAAAATTTATAAATGCTAATTTCAAACACAAACATTTTAATGTTTTATTAAGCAAAACAAACAAATTAAAGCAAAACAAAATAACCAAAAAGCTTCCTTGATGTTATCAAACTAACCAATAAAATTTAATTCTAATACCAGAAATCCAGAGTTTCACAAAGCAGAGTCTCTTTCCTAAAAGAGCTAACATCTAGAAAGGAAATAATCATGAACAATAAACAATGATGTAATAAGTTATATAATGTAGAACAATTTTTTATTTAAAGTATAGTTGATTTACAATACAGTATTAGTTTCAGGTGTGGAGAATAAACAGTTTTAGCTTGAAGGGAACATCTTTGGAACAAATATTAGAGAGATAATACTTCAATGAGGTCTGAAGGATAAAGAACATTCAGCCGATTACAGAATAAGCAGAGAATATTATAGAGAAGAGATAAAGCATAGCCATGTTATGAAGGTGTGAAATTACAATTCGTATTTGAGGCAACTGTAAGTAATCTGTTGGGTCTCAGTCTAAGGAGGATGAGAAGTGAGAAGCAGTTAACGGTGAGAAGGTGGATGAGGTCAAGTTGTATCTAGTCCCCTTTCCAGGGCCCTCCTCCTATTTAGTATCTGTCCTGCATGTACATTTTTGGACAAATGCATTTGTAACATGTGTTTCATACTGTAGGCACTTGCTTTATAAGTGTTGAACACGTGGGGGTTCTTGAAAACTCCAAGGAGGTGATTCCATATGGTGAAATGATGGGAATTGTATTGTCATCAGGAGGCAGAAAACCCTGCCTGGAGTCCCACAGATTACACAGCATAGGCCACCTCTGTCAGAAAACCATGGGCTGGGCCAGAGCAGAATCTGGCACACATCTAGCCCCAGTCGCTAAGGGTGTGGAGGGAGGCAGCTAGCATTCAGGGATTCCAGAGAGAGGTGCATGCTATGACAGACAAGTGGAAGGTGGTGACTGGAACACAGAGGACATGGGAATCTAGGCGAATGGTGAGATTAGTGGTAAGTCTCTGGATAGACTGGTGATCATAAAGAGCTTTCACTGCATTGGGGAGCACAGGTAAGATTCCTGCCTTGTGACTATGCAGTGCATAATAAGGCAGCTCTAGGAAGTTCTAGTCATTAAAAAGTGGGGAAATCATCAAGGAAGGGACTCAGGCACAATGGAAGCAGGAATACAGGGATGGCTACTAGGGTTCATGGGGAGGGGTTTGGTCTATCTGTTTAAACAGAAGCCCAGGCACCCTACTTGGAGTCAGGGGAAAAAAACACCACCACAGCTTGACTTTCTGTGTTGTACACTTGAAATTTGCTAATAGCAGACCTTAAGCATTCTCACCACACACACACGCTCACGCACACTTGCACACATACACACCAAGTAACTATGTGAGGTGATGGATGTGTTAATTAAGCTGATCAGGGTAATCATTTCACAAAGTATATATGTCAAATTACCACCATGTACACTTTAAATATATATGATTTTATTCATGAATTATACATCTATAAAACTGAAAAAAATTTTAATGTGGAAATTGAACTCTAAGACTTTTATAACTACTGAAACCCATGTTTCAATGAATTATCCTATAATTGGTAGTCTATAAATATACTTTCTAATAATAAAATATGTGGTTCATCAAAATATCTAAAGTAATAAGTTTCATATTTAATTCATTTTCTTTCTCTTTCTTTCTTTTCAGGGTGATTCTGGGGGACCTTTAGTTGGAAAGGACCTTAAAGATACCTGGTATCTCATTGGAATTGTGAGCTGGGGAGATAACTGTGGTCAAAGAAACAAACCTGGAGTCTACACAAAAGTGACTTATTACCGAAACTGGATTACTTCAAAAACAGGCCTCTAATTCACTGTAAAACTTAAACACTGAGAGCTGTATGCAGGTCATACACGCATAAGAATCCATATATTCTGTGGCTGTAGTACAATGAAGTGAGATTAAATGACATGATTTATTTCCAAATCACTTTACTCAACCACAAAACCCATGGCCAATTTGTAAAGGATTTAAATTTATAAGGTAGTGAGCCAGTTTAGCCTGGTTTAAAAAATACAACAGAGATAGGGAGCTTTTTAAGTCAGTGAGCTAGAATATAGAAGAGAAGCAATGCAAATTTTTGAGGATAATCCATAACATTTTTAGGGTGTCTTTGTTAGGGATGTCTTCTGAAACAAGAAACTTTTTAAACTCTCAGAGTTTAGGAAACCCATGTATAATTTTCTATCATTTCTCCAGAGCTCACAAATACTTATTTTCCCCTTTTTTTCTTATTCTTTCATGTTTTCCAAAGAGATTTTACATATTTTCTATTTATAAATCCATTGGAAGGGTTTTAATTTTTAAAAAGTTATATCTAAGAAACAAAGTCTGATGATAAATCAAGCCAGAGATCTTCTAACCTTTGTCTGCTGTGAAATCTCCCTGATTTTTCAGTGATAAAGATAGCATAAACACACACACCCCACACACATGTGCACACACAGAATATCCCTATCTTCAGATATTCCCAGAAAAGCATGATTGATAAATATAGACACTAATTAGCTAGTCAAAAATGTATTTTTGTTTCAAATATTTGGGGGAATGTGATAGTAACTTCAGGAGCTGTCCTAAAACAATGGCACAAAAAAATTGAACATTTTATAGGTGCATTTACATGCTTTGACCACCAGGGGGAAGTTTTGTAAATTATTGCTAAGATTAAATGCCTAGAAAAAATTGAGAATCTGTTAATATGTTGAAGAATTAATGAGCAGTATCTTTCCACATGGGATTCCCTGGTAGCTCAACTGGTAAAGAATCTTCCTGCAATGCAGGAGACCCTGGTTCAATTCCTGGGTCGGGAATATCCTCTGGAGAAGGGAAAGGCTACTCACTCTAGTATAAAAGTTTATTCCTTTATATTACTATAGCCAATTGTCTCCTAAGGCTTGTGGCAATAGACTATTGCAACCATGAAATACTAGGTATTTTTTCCTGATTTAATAAATGTAGATTTTGATGACCTACCATACAGAAGATATGAACAAAGTGACTTGAAATAGCCAATGAACCCACTAAGTGTCTCGTGAAGATATTAGGAGAGTCACGCTCATGTATTCCATAATATTAATACAATTAGATGATGATTTTGTAGAAACTGTTACTCTGTGTGACAATACTGGTTAGACATCAGGGTTATGCATCATTTACTCATGTAACCCAAATATAAACCAAGTCATTAGAAAATTGAGCTATTTTATAATTCCCCTCATGTGCTAATGATAAGGCATAAAAATAATGCTAAAATAATCTAAAGGAGATTTAAAATTTATTCACCATAAAAATTAATCCATAAGATAGACTCATATAGTATTTGAAGCACAGGAAACACTACAAGTCCTGTAGGCCAGTACACTTGAGAGTTCAGAGAACTGAAGCCAGGAAAAGTAAATAACTTAGTGAAGCTGTAGGTAATTTGTATCCCCAGTGAGCCTAGGACCCAAGGCCTAGGACCCACCAATTTCACATACCCTTTTCTTACAAAGTATCTTTATGATCATTTATATTATTTAATCATCAGCTGTATAAAAATTTCAGTGAGTCTACTGAATCTGTGTTAAATTAAGAAACTCAAGAATTTTAAATGATGTGATTCACTAAGGCAGCTGGCTGCCAATTCTCAGAACTCACTTAAGGATAAAGTTGCTTCTTCATACATAAAGATATACATAGGCATATAAATTATTCAATATTATGGTGGTAAGATACAATTCTGATTTCTGGTGTTAAGATTCAAGGAACGATCTTAGAGTTATAACTTTGTGTTTCTAAATAGTCTTGTGAAACATTTAATCCTGGATCACATATAAGCAAATATTGGTCTATCATTTAAAATCTAATAATAAAGTTGGTGATCAGAGCATTCTACAAATAATATCATTGAATCTGTGTTAGGCCAACTAAATAAATCTTTCTTTCAACTTTTGTTTAAAATTACATTTCTTTTAATTAACTAGTTTGGGTTACTCAAACTAGTTTGGGACCTAACAGAATCAGAAGATACTAAGAAGAGATGACAAGAATACACAGAAGAACTGTACAAAAACGATATTCATGACCGAGATAATCACAAGGTATGATCACCAACCTAGAGCCAGACATTCTGGAATGTGAAGTCAAGTGGGCCTTAGGCAGCAACACTACAAACAAAGCTAGTGGAGGTGATGGAATTCCAGCTGAGCTATTTCAAATCCTGAAAGATGATGCTGTGAAAGTGCTGCACTCAATATGCCAGCAAAAAATCTGGAAAACTCAGCAGTGGCCACAGGAATGGAAAAGGTCAGTTCNATTCAGAAAACTAAGATTATGGCATCCAGCCCCATCACTTCATAGCAAATAGAAGGGAAACAATGGAAACAGTGACAGACTTTATTTTGGGAGGCTCCAAAATCACTGCTGATGGTGAGTGCAGCCATGAAATTAAAAGACGCTTGCTCCTTGGAAGAAAACCTATGACCAACCTAAACAGCATATCAAAAAACAGAGATTACTTTGCCAACAAAGGTCTGTCTAGTCAAAGCTATGATTTTTCCAGTAGTCATGTATGGATGTGAGAATTGGAGTATAAAGAAAGCTAAGAGCCGACGTATTGATGCTTTTGGTGTATTGAACTGTGGTGTTGGAGAAGACTCTTGAGAGTCCCATGGACGGCAAGGAGATCCAACCAGTCCATCCTAAAGGAAATCAGTCATGCATATTCATTGGAAGGACTGATGCTGAAGCTGAAACTCCAATACTTTGGCCACCTGATGCTTCAGGCCACCTGAAGAAATGACTCTGGAAAAGACTCTGATGCTGGAAAAGATTGAAGGCGGGAGGAGAAGGGTACGACAGAGGATGAGATGGTTGGATGGCATCACCAACTTGATGGATGTGAGTCTGAGTAGGCGCTGGGAGCTGGTGATCAACAGGGAAGCCTGGCGTGCTGCAGTCCATTGGGTCACAAAGAGTTTGACACGACTGAGCGACAAGAACTGAACTGAACTGAATTTGGGTCACTCTGAAGCAGGATTTTTCAACTTTAGCATTCCTGACATTCTGGACTAGATAATTCTTTGTTTTGAGAGGCTACTCTGTGCATTGTAGAATTTTAGCAGCATCCCTGACCTCTGCCTTCTAGACATCTGAAACACACTTCTCTCAACTCCATCCAAATTGTTAACTGAATATATCACTAGATGTTGGCAAATGTCTCATAAGGGGTGAACTTCTTCCTTGTTGAGAACTATTATTCCAAAGGCATTTGATTATTTTCAAAAATGCCAGAGATAATCTGAAAATTTTTACAGTTATTCAAAAACTATAGTCTGCTGGTCGAACTGTATGTTCACTATCATGTTCCTAAAAGGAATGGCAGAATAAGTGACAGATACTTTAATCAGTGACCATTTCAGATGTAGAGTGATTGCCTTACACACAATGTGCTTGAAGTTTCTCATACTCCCGCTTACAGCAAATTCATAGAGCACCATCAGCTATTGCTATGAAGACAGGCTTACATCCTCTAGTAAGAATTTCTCTACAATGACCACAACTCACAGGAAGAAATATATCTTATATCACAGCTCCATAAATATGCAACAAAATACATATACAGATTAAAAATAAACAAGACTCATAAAGCAATGCCTCTTACTAAATACAATAAAATGTAATATTTATATTCTATTTTGCTTTTTAAAAATTCTTGCCCCACCAACTAAATTGATTTCACAACCTATTAATAACAGGTTTTAACCTGCGGTTCCTATAACACATTCTGGAATAATCATTCACCATTATTAATGCCATAGTGTTATGATCTCACCTGTTCCCACTACATTCTCTACCTTCAAACTATATTTTTAGCAATCTGTAGCTAGATTATGGGGCTTCCCAGGTGGTGCTAGCGGTAAAGAACCTGCCTGCCAATGCAGGAGACATAAGAGACTCAGGTTCAATCCTTGGGTTGGGAAGATCTGTAGGAAGACATGGCAACCCACTCCAGAATTCTTGCCTGGAAAAGCCCATGGACAGAGGAGCCTGGCGGTTTAAGGTCCATAGGGTCACAAAGAGTTGGACATGATTGAAGTGACTTAGCACAGCATAGCACAGCTAGATTATGACACTGTTCAATACTGCTATTCCCATGCACTCAAATCCACTGATTTCCCCTTTGCCTGATAAACAGAGTATAAATCCACATCACCATAGCCTGTAAGGCCCTTTACAATCTGTCAACAACCAAGTAAAATTTTGTTTCACTCGTTCTATGTTCTTCTAACACTGAATGTTACTCTTTATTTCCTAAACACATAGATAGTAGGTTATGCAAGATTGTCTTCACTCTGTAAGATCTAGCTCAAATATCACCTCTATCAATAATACCTTTACTATCCAATAAAAATTACTCTTCATCCAAAGTTTTTTTGAATGTTTTTCTTTCCCTAGAGCTTTTGTCATACTTCACTTTGTATTATAACTTTTATGTACATTTATTATCTCTAAAAACATACTAGTTACTCTTTATTTCCTAAACACAGAGATAGTAGGTTATGCAAGATTCTCTTCACTCTGTAAGATCTAGCTCAAATATCACCTCTATCAATAATACCTTTACTATCCAATAAAAATTACTCTTCATCCAAAGTTTTTTTGAATGCTTTTTTTCTTTCCCTAGAGCTTTTGTCATAGTTCACTTTGTATTATAACTTTTATGTACATTTATTATCTCTAAAAACATACTAAGTACCATTAGGCTAAAGACTGCTTTATTCATTTTTGTATTCCCTACAGCTTTTAGGACAATAATCTGTATATATTATGGTTCATGAAAGAATAAATTAACAGACTAATTATGATTTCTATGAAGGAAAGACACCTCAGTTCTCAGTTACTAACTGCTTTCCTCAGC